CACTTCATAAAACATTCATTTATTAAGAGTCTCGCCTTTTTGCCACCTTTCAAGATGGCGCCCGTGAATAAATTTGCCTCACCATGACAACGGCAGTTAGATCAAAGAGTTCCGCACCAAAAAAATGGCGACATTCAAAATTGAAGGAGCGAGGAATTTTGAAATTCAACCGCGAAATACTAAAAAACTGCAGCTTTTTAGAAGTGACAAATAAAAAGAATATCAAACAGCAAGTGACTTTCTATATATTTTGAAAATTTTGCGCCCTTCCTTGAGGTGTCCAACGAAACTCATTTTTAAAGCATATTTTTGAGGCACAGATCACGGACTATATGGCCTTTATCAATATCGTCCGTGTAACACATCGAAAACGTGAAGTCAATGAAGTTCTTTCAGAACCAAATTTAAAAGATTGTACGCACACTCATCGCATAGCTACATTCCTTAAATATTTGACCTCAGACAATATTCGTTTTTGAATGTATTCTATCTTAAGATAATATATGTCAACAATCTCAGACTGTTAGAAGAAAAAATCTTTGAGAGTTACTTTGATTTTCTCACTAAATTCTCTATGGTCTCTACCGCTTTACGAATAACGTTTGTGCTACGAGATATGTGAAGTTATTAAAATGCTTTTGTAAAAAAATTCAAAAGATTTTAACGTCATTAGGTCCCGAGATATTGCTTCAAATGAATAGTCGTTTTGCTTCCATGTTTCATAAAAAGATATAAAACCGTTGACTTCAAAATGTTGAACAAATTTTACTTGTCACTACACTTAAGATTATGTTTGTCAATTTCAAATACTGGAGAAAGAAAAATTTTTGCGAGTTATTTCGATTCACTCGCAAACAGCATCGCGAGTCACTCGCTCAATCGCAACTCGTCACTCTCGAGTGACTCGCAATTGACTCGCGAATCACTCGCCCACTCGCCACTCGATACTCGCGAGTTATGTCATGTTACTCGAGGTCGGTACTGTAAAATATAAATGTGGCTTGGCTATTACACTGGTTATAATATAACTATAATTAATTACATGAATAGTTTGTGTAATGCAGTGGTGAAATTAGCTATAGCAAAAAGTTTTGCTATATTAATATTTAAGAATGAACATTTTTTAAGTAGTACAAAAGTTGTCTTCACTGATTCAACGTCATATTATATAGGCATGGCAAAACCTATTGCCATAGCTAACTTCACCACTGATATTTTATGCAAATCTAGACTGATGTTCCTTTACAAGTACTTCTTTCCTGGGTGGACATGATTTAGAAATGTTCTTTGGAAGATTCTCGCCATGATGTACAAGTTCAATCTCCTCAGTTTTGCATGCATTCACAACCTCGGCAAGTAGTTTATCAATGTACTAGTACTCTTTATTTTCTTTTATTGCTTTTACAACCCATTGCTTCTTTGTTTTAGCAAAAATCATTTTTTAACGGTCTTGCCCTTTGTTTGTCCCTGACTTAACGACTGCTTTATCACGTTTAATATTATTGTTGTGATCTAATGCTGCTAACTGAGTGCGGGCTACCATTCCAGGAAATGAAAAATGCACTCATTTTGGGCTGTATTTCAGTAAAAGGGAATAGTAAACATCTAACTCTCCTGTGTGACAAAACTCAGATAGCTTCCGCAGGTCTTTTAGAAGCCTCTTGTCACATATCACCTTCTCCGCAGCAATATATGCTTGTGAAGTAGGAGATAACCACTTCTTCTGCTTTGTTTCTCTTTCTGTTAATTGTTTGTGGCAACATTGATGGAAATATGAGTTCCCCCTCCAGAAATGCTTGTTGGAAATGTGTTTAAGGACAGACTTTCATTTTTCCACCAATTCTTCTGCATTCTTGTTACAACTTGCAGAGCACCGCCAAAGAATGGACTTAATCCAATGGGTCAAGTCAGCCATTATTGTATAAGTACCATAGTTAGCATTATACCCTGGGCTATCGCATCGACCATCACCATTCACATTAAGACTACCAGACTTCTTAGCTTCAACAATAACAGCTGATTTCTCCTCTTTCCAAGCCTTGTCAACAACAGGAAAAAGATACTACTTTTGAAAGCTGTAAAAACTGGTTTTTCCAATAAATTTGAGATTCATAAAAGATACAAATTGGCTGATCCTTTCATAAGTGTTTTCACTAAATAAAGTGGATGCAGCCAAAAGCAAATTTCCAGTTGAGGCATTCCTTATGAGTGGTTGAGATCTCCATGTTGTGTGATGACCATTTATACAAAAAAGATTAAATGATAGCAAACTATCTACAGTGTTTTCTTCACATTCAATTACTGTCTCTCCACATGTAAGACACTTTGAAAGAAGATTAATAAGGCAGGACTTGAAAACAATATATTTCTTTTCCTCTAGGGGTTCAATTTGGATTGCTTCATCATCAGTTGCAGAGTCTTCTGACACCTGAGTGAACCAGTCGTCATGAGCATTATCACAAGACTCCTCTGTTATCTGCGATGATGTTTCTTCAAAATCAGAAGAATAGCACTGTTCATACATTGAGGTGTTGCTTTCAAAGCAAGATTCCTCAACTTGAACCTCTGCATCCGCAGTATTCAGCATAGAAAGTGTAGTTTGGACTTCCATGGCATGTAAACTCCTCACAACAAATGAACACTGTGTTGACGCATCTTTAGTTTCTGGCTTGAAATAATTAGTTGGCAATACTTCAGGACTGTCAGACGCACCCAAATCACAACTGTCATTTGCTTCAGACTCAACCACTGAGAAAACATTTGTACTTGTGGAGGAACATTGTTCTAAAATATTTGAAAGCTGAAAATAGAAAAAATAGAAATATTTAGAATATACTTTAGGTATAAATTTTTTCTTGATTAAAGTTTAACAAGAAATGCTTTTACTAACTTCCTCCTTGTCTTGATCAGCCTGACGTTTCTCTGTACGATGCTCGCTAGACAGACGCTTTTTATTGGGTTGAGGGCCAAATGAAAAGATCAATGGTACTGCATCCCGCTTCAGACGCCTTTCTAAAGGTTGCCATGGTGTAAGTTTTTGTCTTAGGTCCGATTCAAAACAATCGGGAGCAAAGTCCTCGCTGCAAACGTAACAGCATTGGAGAGGAGGTAGATTTTCTCTCCGTATTCTAGCAATCCATGCCTTTTGACGTGAGGGGTCTTTCGGAATAAGGTGAAAACTAACACCAGAAGATTTTGACTTCGACGAGTAATTTGTACAACCCGGAACACAACAGTTGACCATTGTCACAGAATTCGTTTGGTTCGTCCAACAAATTGATCTGTACTCTGATTCTTAGTTATGGAATTTTTATTAAGAAAGAACTACGACTTTTCTTATCCAATAACAACTCTACTGCGTAGTCCCTAATTTTTCTTCTATTTATACCAATGGTTTCGTGCGTAGGAAATAAATTTTCGTTCCAAATGTGACTTAAAGAAGGGAAATTATGTACAAATAATTAGGAAACTATAAGTTCATACTTTACGTCAAGGAAACTACACCTAAATTCTATGCACGAAAGTGATGTGATGTGAGTGAGTCATGTAAGAAAAGTAAAATTTAACACATTTTTTTGAAACGGAAAAAGTATGGCGGCCGTCAAATTGATTCGACAAAGTTCTGTTGGGTTAACAGGTATTTTGAATAATTTTGTTTAATATAAGGGGGGGGGGATCAGTTGCGTGCTAGGAACACTCCAGGGGGGCAGTCAGCTACCACTGAGAATGGGCCCTAAATATACACACTTTAGAAACGGGGCCCAAAGGCTGAGCCGAGAACCTAAGGTGCGAGTCGTATTTCAGGAGTCCGGGGGTAAATGCTCCCAAGGAAAATTCTTTATTAAGAAGCTCTAAAATGCCATTTCCTGGACTTTGGGGAGTGAAATCATACAAACTGTATAATGCCAAATGCGTTTCTCCAATACAATTTTAAAATTTGACGCCCTTATTTATTTTAGCGCTCCTAAATACCAACAGCTGAGGGAGCCACGGACCCTGCCCCCCCGTCCAGCACGCCACTGAGAGGATATTAGTAATTTCACCACAGTTTTTTAGTTTGGATGTTGTTGCTTGAACTAAAACATCGTTTTATTAAAAAATGCCTTTGACAACATTTATATTTGAGATTTTAAATACCGTACTACCTTGGGGAAAGTGAGACTGTCACCATATTGAGTAATGATCATAAGATATTATGTGTCTAGCGTACCTTAAAGTGGTACTAAAACGAAAATTTTGCCTCCCGTTTTTTTTTCATAGATTAATAGTGTATGTAAAAAAATCTCTTCTGGCGAAATTTTAGCGCAATGTATTTAATGCTGCTCGAGTTACGTAGCGATAAAACTTGTACTTTAAGAGCCGCCATTAAAATGCGCCATATTTGAATTTTCAAGAAGGAAGGTGCTTGTGACGTCATAGTCTTAACTCGCGGCTGTTTACAATATAACACTATATACAAATAGAGATATAAAAGGTTGTATAACTCAATTTTTTAACATGCCTTCAACACGCTGTGTCGTGCAAGATTGCAGTAATACGTCTGATAGAAGTACAGGCATTTCATTACATAAAAGCCCAAACGACGAGTCTTTAAGAAGAATTTGGGTTAAATTTGTTGAGACGAAGCGCGCAAACTTTAATCCGAGTTCGCGCGAAATTCGATTTATGATTTGTTCGAATCACTTCTCGGATGATTGTTTTGAGCGTTTTTTCCATTTGGGTGGTATGACTAGACGGCTCAAACCTGGTGCCGTACCTACTATTTGGAAGAAATCGCCAACACCAACAACGTCAAGAGAGCGGCGTCAGGTTAGCACAAGTTACAACTATTATATACTTACACATATTGCAGATGATCAATTTTCACAATTTGAGAGACCAATAATACATCCAGGCAAACTTTCAATATATAATATACATTTATACTAAGGTTTTAAAGGAAATACAAAATGAAGTGTCTGTATCATGCATGAAGAAAGAAGATTCGTGCAATTTTCACAAAGAAAAAGGCTTACTCCTCTCTGGTCTTTTGACCATCTCGAAAAACGGTCGCATAACTGCGATGACCTTTGGTCTTTAAACCTAACGAAGCTGCTTGAAGAACAAATTCGTTCAGGCAAACTTCGTTAAAGCCAGGGTGATCCAAAATGCATTTCCTTTCATCGACTTCGAACTGATTCATTTTGCCACGGCATTGCTCTAATTCCATGCAGCATCGGCACTCTTGAGGGTTGACAACAAGATCCAACGAACAATGGCCACATTCACACCTTTAATATTGGCCAAATTGTATGTTTCCATAAAGTTATCATAGCTAACGGCAGACGATTCAGATCAAAGTAACACACTAAGAATGACATCTTACCATGAAGTAACATCAACACGGGCATCAAAACGATCTTGCAGCATGTCCTCAACCTGCTGTTCTTCTGCGACTGCAGTTTCGTACTCAGCAATTTCATCGGGCGAAGCAAGCGGTTCAATATTATCGGCAAATGGCAAAATTTCCGAATTAGATTCGTCCGAATTTGCCGTCATGAATTCCGATGAAGAAATCGATGCGTTTGTCTCGATCGAAGACTCAGAAAGCGAGCTAGATCTCGATGAATTTGACATTTTTTTGCTCTATTTATGTATTACTTTGTATACTTTCCAATGTGCGCTTCTTGCTGTGTTAAGACTATGACGTCACAGACCTTTGCTGATTGCAAATATTCAAAATGGCCGATTTTAATGGCGGACATGAAAATTAGACATTTCAAATGTTCATAACTCCCTCGTTATACTATTATTTTTGCTTAAATTTTACGAAAGCAATAATTGATATGTGTTTAAACTATTGAATGCTAAAATCGATGATTTTTTAACGTTCAGTTTTCGTCTTAGTACCACTTTAAATTTGTTTTTTCGTGCATGTTGTAAATTTGAAGCGACTATAGGGCCAATGAAAAATATTTCCTTAAACAGGTTTAATTCTTTTCTTCAATATTGACTGCACTATAATGGAATATGTATTTGAAATCTAATTGTCGGAACTTATGTAAATAAGTAATTGATAATTGTTATTTGATACTAGGAATTTATGGAAGAACGGAAATAGGAACTTATGTTAATACTTTATTAGTTGTGACAAGTTAGAAGTCAGGGTTCTTCTGTTTAAGATTACCTGTGATGCGGAATAGTTATATTGAGTAAAATTGAGAATTGTGTGTCGACTGCGCGTACAGTAGGATAGGATACAGTCCCAAAAACGAATTGGCAGACGCATAACCGCTTTGTGCTAACGCACAAAGGAGAAAATTCCTACACGTGGCTCTTCAAGTCGGAGATATTTTAGTTGGAGATCTATGTGGAAATTCAAGTTTGTTAGTCCAATAGCAGAATGGATAAATTTATGAGAAAGAAACGAGTGCGTGCAGGAGACAGAGGATCAGCGAGGAAAATTGCTAGTAAATTAAAAGAGAAAATACGAGAAACGGAGGGCGAGATCGATAGAAACGAACTAAGACAACTACGAGATGGATTGAACGACAAGATCGCAACATTAAAAATCCTTGATGACGCGATTATCAATATGCTGAGCGAAAGCAATGAGGAAAATGCGGAAGAAGAATTGGGAAACGAAATTGAAGATGCGGACGAGATACGGGCAGAACTCGAGCAAGGAATTTTGGATGTGAACGACGTCGTCAAGGAGTCTAATGTCACAGTTGAAACGGCAACAACGACATTAAATGGCACGCTGTACAGCAGTTTGAGTAGTGAGACGCGCAGAGTTATAAGAGCAAAATTCCTTAATGTGGAAGTAAAGAAATTTAGCGGACGGCTGCAAGAATGGCAAGAGTTTATGGCATTGAGCTCTATAAGACCTGGAGGGGCAAAGGGGCCTGGACCCCGTGGTCAAAAACATGGCGGTAATGGCGGATTTTGGTGGTCAAAACTTCCACTTTAAAAATTTTTTTCAATATTCACTCCCTCCTGATTTCTAATACTGTTTGTATGAACGAAAACAAGTGAGAAAAAAACAATTACGATACCGACAGCATATCATGTGAAAATAATGCTTCAGCATTGCGTGAAAAACACAGTACAGACACACATCAAAATAAAGAAGATCGACGGTAGAGAAACGCATATTTTGGATGTAACATTTAAGTAATTTTATGACATTTTAGCCTTTTAAAAGTGAAAATCAAACGGCATTCTTTACTAGACCTGTCAATATCGTCAAACTTATACATTATTTCATGCTTTTGTGTGTTTGACTGTTTGTAAACAGTTTGGTGCACCTATTTTTCTTGCTTCAAATGGATAAATATGTGTAAAATGCTCCTAACTCCTAAGGAAGCGATAAAATGTTTGCTTCAGTCCTACGACATAAGTCAACTGAAAGTTTACCATGGATAAGTATCATATGTGTATTGTCATTACCTGATAAATCTACTGAAAACTCATAAAGAAAGTATGTTGAACTAGAAGAGCTACAAAAAAGAAAAAAATTCAAAACACCATGACACTGTTGCTTGGTAATTTGTATTTTGTAAACAGCTTGGCAGAATCTTGGATCTATTACTGAACAGAACTACATTAATTTTCCATTGAAATTACAAACTTGGAAACTAAAGTGCATTGGTTTCGCTGACAAAAACACTGTCTATTGCTGCATGAAGGCAAAATAGTTATTTGACAGTGTAGGTGAAGAAATTCATCAAGTTCTATAGATATTGTGCATTACTTACAGTTTTTTGGAATTGTGTAATATATGTCATGAACAAGATATAATTTTTCAAAAATGCTAACCCCTTCGAGCATTACTACTCTTCTGTTTTGCTTAAACAACTGACAGCTACCAATACTAATTATTTATATGTACAAACTAACATTTGGGAATTAAATGATAAACAACTTGTAAAATCTTTGTATTTTACATCAAGCCTTTGAATTAGTTCCTTTTATCTCTTGGTAAAAAAATATTAATGAAAGACTTACAAATCAAGTTTCTCGAAAATAGTATTTTGAACAAAGAAACTAAATAATTGGAAAGGTCACATGTTGAAGACAGACTTTGCTTCTTTGACTAGGTTGCTTGACCATGAGCAAATTTAAATTTGTTTACAATTTGTTTAAAGAATTATTTTTATTGATTTCTACTAATTCTTCATAAGACACAAAGAATTTTTTGCCATCTATTTTTGCTTCTTCTACATTCAACTTCATTGTAACCAATGCATCCGATGTGAATTTGTGGATCACCTGGAATCATACCAAGTATGGATTTAATGAGATGAGACAATAATATGTTTAATTTTTCATGCATATTAATGATATAATCATAAGCTACTGTTGAACAAAAATTTCAAGGTAGAAACAATCTTAGCACATTGTTCAACACACTACTTTTATCTTGGTTTTGAAGTATTAACCTGCTTACTATAACAATAAATACTTCATTTACAGAAACGCTAAGTAGTACTTTAAAATTGTTTGCATAAATACAACTTTCCAATCTCATTATGTCTACACCATACAGTCAGTCAAATTGAGCAGACAAACAGTTTAATAGTTATTTTTATTATACAACATGTACCATAGTTCTCATTAATTTTGCATGGCACTGCATTCAATTTCAACACAACTCTGTTGTAAACTTTCCCTTCATCTTTTCAAAAAAAAACATGAACAAATTATGCCCCATGTTTGGGAGGTAAACTCAATTCAAATCAGGAGAGTTTAGCTTGATGCCTTGATCATGATACAAGATGGATGCAAAACTCGATAAAAATTGACAGCTTCGCCACGTCTGGCGAGCGATTAAGTGAAGAACAAACAAGACTGGATCAAAATAACTTTAAATTAAAACTTAGTAGTAGAAACACTCTTCAAGTATCGTGCTAAAAACAAAATAGTAAAACTAATACTGTGCTACTTACCGGAGTCAAGAAATGTTCCCTTTTCTGTCGCTATTTCAGCATCCGCAAACCACACAAGTTGGCAGTTTAATAAATAAAATTTTAAAAAAGTGTTTATGTTAGGAAAATAAATAGTTTTGATATTTTCTATACTCGCAATCGTGGTGGTCAATTCAGGGTGGGCGACAAAAATTTTATTTCATGAGCCTGCGTCTCTCCGCTGACTTTGACCACCAAAATCCGCCATGTTTTTGACCACGCGGCCGCGCGCTAATAATTTATACTAATTTTGTTGACGTTTCCCCTCCAGTTATTATAGAACTCAATGGTTTATGGATTTGTTTGATAGTGCGGTGAATAATAATGACGGATTGGCTGACGTAGACAAGTTTGCGTATTTAAGGAGTCTTTTACTCGAACCTGCAAGATCGACAATATCAGGATTTGCCATAACTTCAGAGAACTATCACGAAGCTGTAGGATTGTTAAAACGAAGATACGGGGAAAAGAACGATATGAAGAAAGCGCATATCCAGGAGTTGGTGAACGTAAAACCCGTAACGGACGAAAGAGACATGGACAAGCTTCGGCGGTTATAGGACACCTGCGAGACAAACTACCGGGGATTAAAGGCCTTAGGAGTGGACGAAGCCATATATTCTTCAATTCTAATACCGGAAGTCAATGCTAAGTAGCCGGACGCTTTTCCATTGACAATAACAAGAGATTCGATTTCAAGAAAATGGTCTATGAAAGATGCGTTGAATGCAATTCTTAAAGAGTTGGAGCTTCGAGAAGCTCACACACCGATCGGCGAGAAAACCAAGAGACAGGATGGGGAGAAACAACGAGAAACGTCGCGACAAAGACATATGGGGTCAACATTAACACTGCACGCGAAGCACGAGAGATGCAACGAGGTGTCAACGAACGGTAAAGCGAAAAGAAAATGCGTTTATTGTCTCGGGGAACACAATCCAGAGGAATGTAAGAAAATAACCAATGTAGCTGAGAGAAAACAACTCATTCGTAAGTACGGAAGATGTTTTATTTGTTTGAAGAAAGGACATGTCAGTAAGAATTGTAATAGTAATGATAAATGTAATGCATGTTGGAAGGCACACCATAGGTCAATTTGTGAAGTCAATGGGATTCTTACAGGTGATGTTCAAACCAACCATTCTGGGATCTCATTTTAGGATAGCATTATAGACGGATCACGCTTTTATTAAGGGAAATAAGGGACGTGTTAGGGTCAGAGTGTTGTCTGATTCAGGAAGTCACAAGTCGTTTGTGAATAGAAAGATTATACAGGTAGCAGGTATTCAGGCTAGTAAAAGGAATGGATAGAAATCAAGTTGTTTGATCAAGAGAAGGCTAAAGGTAAGTTGTGGGAGGTATTTCAATTAGAGTTGTCGTCAGTTACGATGGGAGAGAGTGTAAGCATCGAGGCATATAGGGTAGACTGTATATCTCAAATTAGGAATGAACATGTAGAGTTGAGAAAGATGGATTATTCACATGTAAAGGGTCTGTGGTTTTCAGATGTTTGCAAGGATAAGGAAGTTTTAGATATTGAAGTTTTGATTGGAGCAGATTATCATTGGTGGTTTCAGGAAGACAATGTTGTTCGGGGACAGGTAGATGAACCAGTTGCTGTGTCTACTAAGTTAGGTTGGGTGTTGTCCGGCCCCATGAGAGCAAGAAATGATTTGGATAACATGCACACTCAAGTAAACTTCATTGCACATGAAAGTTCAGAAAATTTATGTTTAGATAAGAATGTCAACCGTTTGTGGGATTTTGAAACTTTAGGAATAGCAGAAGAAGATGAAGTTCATGAATCGTTAAGACATTCTATTGGGTTTAATGATAACAGATACAGTGTCAAATTGCCTTGGAAAGAAGGACATATTTTAGACTATACAAATTACAACATAGGTTTGAGAAGATTCAAGGGTCAGTTAGTACGGCTGAAAAGGGAACCAGAAATTTTAGAAGAGTATGATAAGACAATCAAAGATCAATCGAGGAAGGGTATTATAGAACCAGTGATAGAACTAGAGAAAGCTGATAAAATACATTATTTACCACATCATGCGGTTATTTGCAGGGAAGCGAAAACAACTAAGGTAAGAGTTGTTTATGATGCGTTGTGTAAATAGTCACCCAAGGCTTCCTTGCTCAATGACTGCTTGCATGTGTGACCCAAATTAGCACCATAGCTCTTTCATATTTTGATAAGGTTTAGAGAGAAGAGAGTGGCTTTAGTGGCAAATATTGAAAAGGCATTTTTGAATATAGAAGTTGATACTTTGGACAGGGATTGCCTAAGATTTTTATGGGTTGATGATGTAAACAATGAGAGGGTGAAACCTGTAGATTACCGTTTTTGTAGAGTAGTGTTTGGGGTTAACTGCTCTCCATTTTTGTTGAATGCAACACTGCAGTATCATTTAGACTCATTCATAGAGATAGACAAGTAATTTGTTACAAAACTCAAAGATAGCTTTTATGTCGATGAGCTAGTGTCCGATGAACAATCCAAGAAAAAAGTATTGAGGCTGTATGAGTCAGCAAGTGAGCGATTGGCTGCGGGAAGATTTAGACATAGGAAGTGGCTAAGTAATGATGAGAATGTTTTGAAAGAAATAGAAATGAGAGAAAGAAGCATTTTAGAGGAAAGAAGGGCAGAATTTAGTAAATCGAAAGTGGTTGATGAGCAAAATTATACCAAAGCATCAGTTTGGGAAAATATAATATAGTCAGAGGAGCGGAAGTCAAAGTTGTTAGCAAGGGAAGGCCACTGCACATAAGCAGGCCTCTTCAGAAACTGTATCCACTAGAGATGGATGCAAAGGTAAGTAAAGACAGATGTGTAGAAATAGAGAAACAAGAAAGCAGTGAGAGAGGAGAAGTTTCAGAAAAGGGCAGCAGTGTAGAAAGTCATAGGAAACACAGAAGGGCGACAGCTGTGGATGCAAGTTGGACAAAAGTTTTGTTTCACCCTAAAGGCTCAAAGGGGGGAGTGTGTCGGAACTTATGTAAATAAGTAATTGATAATTGTTATTTGATAGGAACCTATGTTAATACTTTGAAAGTCAGGTTCTTCTGTCGCTGGCTGGAAAATTTTAAAGTCGTGCTACAGCAAAGCCCCCCCTCTCACAATAAAATATAAAGTCAAATTATTTCTTTCATTGGACAGTTGACGTGTCTAGCTATAAGCTAAACATATAGATTAGATTAAAAAGTTTTGCATCATCAACGTCACGTATTGTTTCCAAAGATAGTTGTCATAGCCTTCTTTTGAATGGACTAAGGCTGATGATTTTGTAATGCATTAAGTTGTTTGGTAAAACATTCTTGAGTCCAGGGCACCTATTTAAATGCGACGTTTGAAATATGCTTGTTTTGCAATAATTTGTAACAACTGAAAATTGTCTGGATAGCACAATTATGTTTTCCATTGGCTACGAAGATTGTTTGCAATGGCAAAAATTCTTTATTACATATTTAAGAAACCACGAATTGTTTACTAAAATTGTCAATTTAAGATAAATCATCAGCATAACTTAAAGTGCTTATATTACGAATTTTAGCCCCCCTTTTTTATGAGCTTAATTGAAAATTTGGATTATTTGAAGAACTATGACATGTCGCTTGACTTAAACAGATAAATATAAGTTCCTTAATTTTACCTCCAAAGTCGGGTACTATTTGCCAATTTTTTACGACGCCATATTGATACTTGTGACGTAGATAGTTGAACACGTCTGTTTCCGTCAATATAATATTATATTATAGGAGGTGATTTTGTTGTCGTTTTTCTTATCTTAAAAACAAATAATGACAGTATTTTCAATAAAATATTAAAAAACAAGTTTTCCGGAAAGTATGGCCTCAAATCAGTTCTCAGATAATTCGAATTCGATGTCTGAATGCGTATCTGATTCGAGCTCGGAATCCGTGGGTTATGTCGAGCATTTAAACGACTTCGCATATGACGATGAACCGCTCGCAGGAGATGGTGATGAAGTGCATACTCCAGATGATCCCAATGGAATTCTCCCTGCGACATTAGAACAACGAAGTGATGGCGTAATTCCACTTGGTGAATGGTAAGTTGTTGTTTTCTCCTGTTTGTAATATACATAAAGTTACTTTATAAACCACAATGCTCCCACGTTTCAGGTGTAATTGTCAATGTTGGAAGCCGCATTAGAGTACAGATGCTGTAAGGAAATAGGACCAGCTTTGCAGAAAATGACATTCGATGGCAGCATTGAGAAAATATCATGCATAACACAGCATGCCAAATTTGGGCCTTTAGTTCATGAGGCTGTCCTTGAAAACGTCGGGCCACTATTGAGAGATAAGCATCACAATCATTAAATATGTAAGATTGTAAATTGTATGAGAAACAATGTTATCATCAACATATGGCATACAGATGGTTGATGCGATGGTTTTGTGGGTCTATGGGATGGGAGAATACTCGGCCTTTACCTGCTTGTGTTTACCACTTTATTCGGAAAGCATATCCAAGTGGCAACACAAAAGGTTACATACCATCAGAGGGGCGATGATGAAATAGTCTTTTAACTTGTGCACTGTAGAGACTGTTGACCTTCTTTGCTGAGTTTGGAATGGTCAGGAAATATGCCTAGATGGAAACCATATAGGAGATACATGGATGCACTATATAAGTTGACATGCAGTTTAATGGTTTGAAACAAGAGTAAACAATAAAAACAAATTGGAGCAACTACTGAGAGGTTAAGCTGAAAGAATTAAATGAAAGAAAATCTTTTCTTCAATGTCAGTCGGGGAAAAAAGACAAAAGAAAAAATATATGGAATTAAATCATAGCATAAATGTAAAAATGGAAAATAGCAAGCCGTTCAAATGGCGAATCGTTTGCTTCCCCAGTGCATACTTCAACATGCTCAGCTCCATCACTAGTAGATGGTACTTCCTCATTGAGAGAACATGTTTCCTTCAGCGATGGCTTATGGAGAGTATGTCGAATAATCTACAAAACTTATATCGAATTTACATATGACAAAAGAAAGATTAACCTAAACAAGCGTAAACTTACTTGTCTCCGCTTTCGATCGGTTATTTCGTCCTGTAATGGTTCAGGAATCCCAGCCACGTCAATGGTTGGGATAGCATCTTTCTTCAACCTTCTTTTGAGCTTGACTTGCACGCTCAAATTAATTTCAAAACAAGAATCTTCAAAATGCGCAGAACACAGACACGAGGTAGAGGGAAGCTCAAAACCCGGTCTATGTTTACGCACAAAATTTACCCATTTTCTATGTCTTTGCGGCTCTGTTTCTTTTTTAGGAAACAGATGCAACGACATTCCTTCGGTTTTTGAATCATTGTCGCAACTAATTTGATTAGGTCCGCCAGCAACACAGCGTTTTCCTCCGTGTTTTTTATTAAGATTACTAGTAGAATACGCCATGTTGATATATGTGTTCAACTTTCTACGTCACAAGTCATTAGCATACCGATCAAAAAGTTCGCAAAAAAAATGCTGAAAATCATGACTTTGAACGTCCGTAAAATCACTTTCACCAATCCAATTTCAATTATAATTGCAGATTTAAAATCACTGAAACAAGGTCTTTCAATTTAGCTAATAAAAAAGAGGGGGCTAAAATTCGTAATATAAGCACTTTAAAGTAAACTATTAACTATATAATTAATAAATTGTACGTGAAACGAAAGTTTTTACTTTACATTAATAAAACAATGCGTTTTGGTTGGTGGATCTTGAAATGTTTAAGATTATCTATAATGCAGAATAGTTATATTGAGTAAAATTGAGAATTGTGTGTCGACTGCGCGTACAGTAGGATAGTATACAGTCCCGAAAACGAATTGGCAGACGCATAAATGCTTTATGCTGACGGCAAAGAAGAAAATTGCTACACTAATGTCTAGTTTGTTTATAACAAAGCTTAGAGATGGGTAGAAGTCATGTGCAATAGACATGCCAAGATTTTCGGAGTGAGTATAATATGAAAGAAGCGATACAAATTGCCTAATGAAGAAGATGGCCAGATGACGAGCATAAATGCTTGAATTTTCATACATCAACCTTAGAGTCAACAGCTTAGCATCGACGAAAGACAATTGCAGCAAGCTTACAAAGTTTAGCAAAATTCTTTGTCCGCATTTAAAATGTAGACCAACAGAATTGAACAAGCGATACTAGTTTATGACAAAAATAAACACACTTTCTGATCAATATTTCTACTTCTAAAACGGCTTAAATGATGACATGCACGAGTCCATTTGCAATTTTAAAGTAAAAATTGAGTCATAAATTTCCTTCAATAATAACACAAGCCATAAGGTGAAAAATGAAATAACACATATTTTACAAACAGACCTTGTGGACCAAGGACTAATAGTTACTTTAACAATCATTTTTACTTCCTTTAAACGAACACATCAACGTAAACATACCTTGCTTAAGATCGCAATGATTCGTTTTTGGTAAGCAAATTGTTGTTGTTTGGAATTGTAACTTTGTTTGACTTTGATTAATGTACAATTACAGAATTATATGTTTCCATGGGCACATTTACACGTCGTAATCACACATAATAATTCTTTATGTTTTGTCTTACAAACCTTTTACTGGTCGACAGTTCGAACTTTGAACATTCAATCTTTCAGATAAATTTAACGTTCTGAAAAGTTAAGCGTCAAATGTTTGCGCCGTTTGAGTTGATACGTGGCAAAGAGAGGCGTAACTAGAACGTTAATTGCGGGGGTGCACATTCATATATTTCGTTGTGCCCTACTGATTTCTTTTGAAACTAATTTGAATTTCCAAAGAAATCAGTATGGCACAACTGAATATATAAATATACACCCCCAATTAACGTTCTAGTTACGCCTCTAGTGGCAAAGAATTTTGTACAACTTAATTTTAAACATTAAAAGTTCATTGTTATCTAAAGCAAAGATACGGCCTTAAGATTTTTATTGTTTCTGTTTAATTTTATTACCGTTTTCTAGGTATTTTGTACGGAAGCCGTGAAGGGCCACCCTGAAAATATTTTTTTAATCGCAAAATGTTTTTTAAATCCAAAAATATATTTCCAGTCTGTAATTATATCGAAAATCTAAAAACATATTTCTAAATCGGAAAATACTTTGAAAATCCGAAAAGATTTTTCAAATCCGCAAATATTTTCTAATCAGAATTTAGACACCTAATTGTTGTCCAACATGAAGTATTAATCACTAAACTTTTAAGACATGTCATTTCCGTAACAAAATGTTGGATAAGGAGCGGCGTTTTGCCCTTCTTGTGGCAATAAACTAAGTTTTACGGACAGGTTTTGTTTCAAATGCGGATCTAAAGTAGAAGCAAAATTGTCGTTATGAAATCAGGCGAAGACATTAGACTAGTACATGTCTATAAACAGGGACGCCGGAACTGGGGGGGGCAAGGGGAGCAACGCCCCCCCTTGCCTTTTCTGGAGATGGGCAGGGGGGAAAAAGTGCCCTACAGGTTGAATATTTATTGTTTTTGATCCAAGTTAAAGACTACTTAACCGTTGTGGGATATTGCATTCTTTTTAGCTTAGCAATAAAATTGTCGTAACTATGTTAGTTTTCTTTTAACATTTCTTTGTTTTAAGTACATTTTGTAAGTTCTTTGTTTGCTCAGTTAGTTCTTCTTTTTTGTTGCAACGCGTGAGAACTTGAAACGCAATGAAAGAGTGAGTACTGCTAATGACGTAAAGGAAAGCTCGACTTATGTAATTACTGATAGTATAAATAACATGTAAATAATTAACTCTAATAGATAGCGTAAGAATACTCCAGTGATGTACTTGTAGCTTGTTTGGCTTGTAAAATAAAAGGTTCAAAACGAAGAGTGTTCGTGAACCAGCTGAGGAGCGGATTCTTCGACAACCGTGAAACGTCATTTTTAAAATGTAAACAACTAAAAATCACAATACCTTTGCAAATTCCTTTCATTATTATTAAATCCAAAAAAGTGGCAGGAACATGACGTATAGTAAAAACATTTTTAATGGTAAACATCTGCTGGCATAAATGGCTCAGTCACCTAAACACTGATGACTTTGAAAGGGAGATTTTTTGCATCTTATCGCTTTTTCGCAATGCCAAGAGCAGAAAGATATAAAAAAGATTCAGCAAAAGCATTAGCGATCGTAGGTGCCCATCAAAAACGTATTTTATTGTTCGAAGAAATACAGGCAGATTTTAGAAATGAAACAGGAACAAACGATTACAAAGTTCTACGACTCCAAAGTCTTTCTACACTGAGATGGACAACAAGAGTAAAGGCTGCTGACGTCATCTTCGAGAAATCGCCTGAACTACATGCAACCCTTGAAAAATTGCAGGAAGATCCTAGCATTTTGGCAGACACAAAAGCAAGATTAGAGGAATATTAAGGCGACAACTGTCTTCCTTAATCGTCATCTTTAATTTAAACGTGACAAGAAAGCTATTGGCTTTACTCGAGAAGCTTTCTAAAGAGCTCCAAACGGTTGATATTTTGGCTGAGCACGCTCTATTTTCAATAAGACATGTCCTGCAACGTCTTCATGACATGAGAAGCGAAGAAGAGTTTGAGCGTACACTTGATGACGCTAAGAAAGATTTTCGTGTTATGATGTCGTTTCAACTGGAGTCTAGTGAAAATGTTGGCACTGGCACTAGACTAAGAAAAGTTCCAAGATGGATGAATAATGAAGAAATGTTAATAACAGAAAGCCTTTACGTCACAATGCCTCTGTTTACAACAGTGCGAATATAACAATGCGAAGCTGGTACTACCAAGCCATTGATGCAATCATCTCAGGTCTAGGATCGCGATTTGAACAAGACGATCTTTTCCAGATCAAATGTATCGAGGAACTATTACTTAACTCTATGAAAGAAAGAGGAGTATCTTTAGATGGATTAAGCAATTCTTTGATTGATAAAGATGTTCTAAGAATGCAGCTTGATGATCTTCCTACCATTTTTGGGCTTTACAACGCGGATCAGAAGAAAAAAATAACAGAAGTCACGCGTATTTCAACAATAGCAGAGATATTCAATGCCATGCCGTCAGCAAAGAAAAGGTGCTCAGAGATCCACAAACTAATTATACTATACTACACAGTGCCACTCTCATCCGCCTCGTGCGAACGCACATTCAGCGTAATGCGTCGTCTCAAAAACATGGCTGCGGTCAAACACTGAAGGAAATCATCTGAATGATATTATGTTCTCCAACATTCAGAAGCAACATATGGATATGGTGGAAATAGACGTAATTGCCAAAGAGTTTTCACAGAGAAATGAAAGAAGAATTAAATATTTTGGAAAATACAATACATGACAAATTGTAAATTAGTGACGTTACATCGTTTGATATTTATATTATCGTTAATATTCATCGACCAACACTGCGGACATGTGCTTCTGTACAGTGTATTGCATGTAGCACATCTCTTTGCTGTTTATTACTATTAGATTATGTTTAGTATATTTCACTAATATGCCCTTCCACAAAGGCTTGCCCCTCCTGCCCTTTTGCCGTTCCGGCGTCCCTGAGTATTATGAAACATTAATAACATCTATGTCACAGTAAAGGGATATACAACAGTAGGTCCACTTCGTGTGCAACTGGATGCTGAATATTTAATTAGATTACTTGCTGTCGGTAGCCATTTCATCATTTCTATTGGTCAAAAAAAGGCAATTGACTGGCTGCCACGATGGTAAACACATGTGTAAAAAGATACGTGTGGCACGAAAAATTTGAATAGAGTGTCTCTACTGTATGTTCTTCTATAGTGTGTCTATGTAGAACATCTCAGTTATATAACTAAGTATACATCATTGACTAAAATCTATTGTCATAGAAATAAAAATACATAAATAAGTACCTCATGCAGAGTACATAATAACATTGAGATTAGTCAAACTCCAAAGAACTAGTGCTAAATGTAATAAAATTTCACAAGTTTTAACTCAGGAGTTGAGAATCATCTATCTAAGACAGGATTTGAATGTTAATGCGTAAGACACGATTTTCGAAAATGCAAATGTTTCTTTTATTTCATTAATCAAAATTCCATACAAATAGATTATTGCATAAGTCATTTCATATTATAAAAATCCTTTGTTATTTAATAAACTATTGTAAATTATGAATAATTTTCAAACTCCAACTACACGGAATTATAATAACTTATGATAAAAAAACACTGCAGGCACAAGAGTAAAGAATGTAATGAAAATAAGATAATGCTTATCTCAAATGTGTAGTAACGATGAGAAACACATTGTAGTTGAGTCTCAGTTGGCAAATTTAAAAGATTAGTGGTACCAGTAAAGGAAAAAACACCCACCGAGCGCATTTACGATTTCAAAAAATGAATGCTTAGAGTGAGTTAAATCACAGTATAGGAATATACAGTAGGACCACTTTGCTGTGCAACTGGCTGCTGTATATTTAATAAGGGGCAGTTCGCACGAGCCCGGTAGCCGGGATTCAGGGAAGCGTTTAGACATTTTGGCAAATGGAAAAAATTAAATACTTCACAACAAAAATGTTATTTGAGCAATTTCTCTGTACTATGACTTTGGAAATTCACAAAACCTTTGTAAATTTTGCACTTAAAGCTTTAACTCTTTTCAATGACTTAAAATCATTTTACGCCTCGCTAAATCCCTGTTACCCGGTTAATGTGAACAGGCTCTTAGTTTACTGGCTGCCGTTTGCCACATCGTCAATCCTATTGGTCACAATGCAATTTACTGGCTGCCAATATGGTAATCACATGAGTAATAAGATATGCGGAGCACGAAATATTCAATGGAGTGGCTATACTGTATGTTTTCTATACTGTGGTTAAATGCTCCTTTTCATCTCATGGGATTTTTTTTTGAAAATATGAAAATTCAATCTCTGCCAAGAATATTGGTTAATTTATGCAAACTTTATATTTGACCACAGATGGTACATAGTAATTTTCTCAGTAAATATTGATGTTATACAAAGTTTTTTCTCCCATGACCACCCCTAAAGTGAACCTTCTAAACATGTCAAGAACTTCAGAAAAGTTATTTCTTTTTGTTTTTGAAAGTTAGAGCTATGTTGACATTGCAATTTTAGTTAGGTGTCGATTTAAGGGTTCGTCCCAGATTAAAGAAATGGCTCATGTACCATGTTGTTTGTCGTGGTCATTTTACCCCTTCAAGTTGAAATTACTTCTGGTAAACGAAGTGCATACAAACTCTTATACAAGTAGTTCTTGACCACTAACTCATTCATTACACGTTTGTAATAGACCACTTTGGCGGTTTTATTTGAATAAAAACACGTGCTCGCAAAGTGAAAAACTCGGACAAACATGGCGGAAGACATAACAATGACTAATTTGCTATATGAAATAGAAATATATTTCGCTGTCTTGCAAATGTAGCGACCAATAAAACTTCTTCATAGTTGTTGTGCGTCAACGGATATACGATGTGAGTAAGCACAACAACTCGCTACAAGCTAACCACACAAGCCCGACCACAAAGCATGAAAGCACTATAACGCGCTTAGAAAGAACTAAGTCATCCCACTATTACGTGCAGGATATGACTGAGAACACTCCTTTAGTTACTACATAAATGCACGACAAAATACAGAATAGGACAAGATATAGAATAGGACAAAATATAAAATAGGACAAAATATAGAATAGGACAAAATATAGAATAGGACAAAATATAGAATAGGACAAGACATAGAATAGGACAAAATATAGAATAGGACAAAATATAAGCGCTAAAATGGAAGAAAGGTTACGTGAAGAGAAATTCAAAGCTATGAAACTGCCAGAATTAAAAAGTTACCTGCAGAGTAGAGGTATAACCGTAAGTAGTTATCTGAAGCCGGGACTAGTAGCCATTGCATGTGCAGTGGAAAAAATGAACATTCCATTGATCCCGCAAGTCAGTAAAGCCGAGCAGCAAGTAAATTTAAGTTGTCGTTTGACCATCCATGACGTTGAGCTGCCGGATCCATTTACGATTAATGTTTCAAATGATTTTAAAAATTCACCCCCGTTCGGCTTGTTTAATATATTTAATCATCTTATATATCATTCATCGGAATACGACAAGCAGGGTCTTGCAGCCTATAAGTCGTTCGAGAACTATCGTTTGTTTTACGATGGATACGTTGAGTCTTTGCTAACAGCATACAGGCAAGATGCTGGGGTCCATGTTTATATAGGCAAGATTAAGCCTACAATGAAAGAAATGACTAAAGATGGTAAAGACGTTTACGATTTATGGTTTATATTGGAAGGAAACGGGTCTAATCGCGGCAGTGTGCTTGATGCGTATTGTTGTTGTCTTTGTGGTAGAGATGGTGGATGTAAGCATGTATCATCTGCTTTGTATTCTCTTGATGATCTGCTTAATTCTAGAGGAGAGGACAGTGTTACAAGTAAGGAGTGTAAATGGATTCAAAGATCAAGGCCTGATACAGCACCGTGCAAGCTAGAAGATCTTCAAATAAAAAAAGTGGGACTTAAAGATCAAGGAAAGGAAAGAAAAAGAGATGAAGCATACAACCAATACATTGACTATGACCCACGTCCATTTACAGATAGTGGACCCTGTTCACATGAACAACTTGTTAGTCTAGTAAAATCAATAGATGAAATAAAGAAGAAACCACCTATACTATCCATTTTGAAGAAAGAAGTGTATGGCATGGATGAAATTCTGGAAAAGAATAAAGAAGTAGATAAAGAATCATCCAAGCATGGAATAATGGAAAAAAAGATAATACAACACCTGCAAAGCAATCACCAAGCAAATGCACATGGCTTCTTAGAAAGTCTCCACTTCTCAAATAAGGAGATTGAGGATATTGCTTCAGTCATTAAAAAGCAATTTCAATGTATTGAATGGTACACCCATAAAAGAGGATTTATAACTGCCTCAAAAGTTAAGAATATTTACACAAGGCAGATTTCCATTGAGAAACATGAGACGGATGTTTCTTCTCTCGTAAAATTGCTAACAGAACAAAAAGATGTCGCAACAATGAGAAAACATTTGGTTGATGATCCTAAAAATCCACTCGATTGGGGACTGAAACATGAACAAAGTGCTAGGAAAGCTTACTATAGTGTTCAAGCAAATAAACATAAACAACTTAGTTTAATTTCAAAAGGCTTCGTGATTTCAAAAGATACACCTTTTCTTGGTGCTAGTCCTGTTAACATTACAAGTTGTAAGTGTATGCCTAAAGGCGATAGTGTTGTAGTGGAATATAAATGTCCGTGGACCCACAAATATCGTGATCCCAAAGAGGCATTCTTGCAGCCTGAGATTGGTGGTAAATGGGAAAATGGCAAATTTTTTCTTCAAGAAAAGTCCAGTTACTTTTACCAAATTCAAGTGCTCATGCATGTTACTGGACTGAAAAAGTGTGATTTGGTAGTCTGGACAACGAGAGGAATTTTCTGCCACCAAGTGACATATGCTCCAGTGTTCTTTCAAAGGATTTCTTTGAAGCTTAAACAATTTTGGCTTACCAAGGTTGTGCCACACATGTTCAAAAAATTCTGCATTTTGAACAAGGTATCTTCTGAATGAACAAATGGTAAGCATTTAATTTGAGTGTTACCTTAGCAAATTTACTTGAAGCTAATTTGCAGCAATGTTGCTTATGATAGGCTCCACAAAAATAAAGTATGTTCATAAACAAAATCTGGTGAACAAAGATGAAAAAGAGGCTGCTTTTTTATGCAAAACAGGTATCACATATCAAGTATCAAGTGGTTTATTAAGAGCCAGGATGTTTTGTTATGCTCCCCAATTTTTTTCTTAATTTCCTTAGATGATACGGTAAGCATCTTAGAGACAGAAAACAGTGATTTGCCGATGAAGTCAGTTGTCTTATTTTGGCTTTGATGTGCAACAAGAAGTCATAGACAGTCTACAACCAAAGGGACTTATCACAGACACAATCTTGTCTATATTAATGAGGTATATTCTTTCTATGCAATATTGATTGATTTTAAAATAGCAAATAGGTTGATTACACTACCAAAGTAAATTTACTAATGCTAGTGAACTGTATAATTTCATTTCTAGTCATCACTGCTGTGAATACCCCTTAGTAGACACTTTATTCTATTCTGTTCTTGTGGGAGATCAAGAACTGAAAGTGCGAACATCAAGCAGGTTTCAGTAACTGACAATGATATTGCACTTATCTTTCAAACATTCTACTTTTATACATTGTATTTAATGTTTGTAGACTAGAAAGAATCTAAGCTGCAGAACAATTATTCAGTGCAAAGTTACTTGAAAAAGATTATGTGTTTGTGCCAATCAACAGAAGGTAAAAATGCTTTAGACAACAAATGTAGCATCTTTTGCAAAAATTTTTTTGCAAAATCCAATAAAATATATTGTGCAAATAAAATATATTTGCAATAAAATATATTGTGCAAATAAAATATATTGTGCAAATAAAATAAGAGCCTAATAAAATATATTGTGCAAATAAATCTTGCTATATGCATTATTTGGTAGGTCCCACAGCAGGAAATCTCTTTAAACCTCTGTGCTGTTTTTGTATCACTTTTTATTAAATACTTTTTGAAGGTAATTATGAAAACATGTTTCTTCAAGTTAGAGCCTAATAATAGGAAAGATGTACTCAATGCAATAACATAGGGAAGAGTGCTTACTTTTTCAATCTCACAACATTTTTTGCAAAAGATGCTACAAAAAAATTTGTAAAAAAATTTTTATTCCATTATTTTAGCCTACACTGGTTTTTGGCCATCATTTAACCATGGTAGGAAAAGCAACATTTGCTGTATTGCATGTGTTCCTTTAAAGCATGTAATGTTACAATAGTAACCAATTTCATATTTAGGCATATCCTTGTTCTGGACTCTTTAACTTGGGATAAAGAAGACAAGAAATCTACATTTGAATATATTTCACAGTAATTGTTTTTCCATTGCACTATGCCTACTCGCATTGCTATGTTACTGTTGGATTAGAATTTTTACTTTTCATTCTGAAGATATTTGGACTACACCTTTCAAAAGCACAGCATCAAAAGAAAGCATCGTTCTCATCATATGTCAAAGTGAGTTCTTATCATACCACCAATAAAATATATTGTGCAAATAAATCTTGCTATATGCATTATTTGGTAGGTCCCACAGCAGGAAATCTCTTTAAACCTCTGTGCTGTTTTTGTATCACTTTTTATTAAATACTTTTTGAAGGTAATTATGAAAACATGTTTCTTCAAGTTAGAGCCTAATAATAGGAAAGATGTACTCAATGCAATAACATAGGGAAGAGTGCTTACTTTTTCAATCTCACAACATTTTTTAGGATATTGAAAAATATGAGAAATATCCCAATGATTTCATTCTCATGGAACATAAATGGTTCAGTAACAAGGATGCCACAATGGAAAGAAATAAATGGCACAGAACTTTGCACACATTGTTTACTCTGCATTGATCTAAGCGCACCTCTTCGTCGTAACCATTGTTATAAAATTACTCCGCCACGTATCGTTATTATTATTGCATTATATTTAATCATACGAGTTTACATTGAATTTTGCTATGCTCTATTCATCTCTTGTCCTATTCTGTATTTTGTCGTGCATTTATATAGTAACTAAAGGGAGTGTTCTCCGTCATATCCTGCACGTAATAGTGGGATGACTTAGTTCTTTCTAAGCGCGTTATAGTGCTTTCATGCTTTGTGGTCGGGCTTGTGTGGTTAGCTTGTAGCGAGTTGTTGTGCTTACTCACATCGTATATCCGTTGACGCACAACAACTATGAAGAAGTTTTATTGGTCGCTACATTTGCAAGACAGCGAAAAATATTTCTATTTCATATAACAAATTAGTCATTGTTATGTCTTCCGCCATGTTTGTCCGAGTTTTTCACTTAGCGAGCACGTGTTTTTATTCAAATAAAACCGCCAAAGTGGTCTATTGATCATGCAGCGTGCATAAATTAAACATTTGTTACTTTTTCAAAACTTGACGTTACTAACGTTACTAACATCCATCTCATTGTTGCTAATGCGTAACCCTGAGTTAGCATTGGTTAGTAACAAAGCGTTGCTCTACGAGTCTACGACAAAGACACACTATGTTTCACCAATACGAATTTAAAGCCTAATCTCTAACAATAGAGTCTCACGTTTTCAAACGTCCTTCCATCAGTTCCATGTTTGCTAAATTTCAACATGCTACGGTCGTTTACTGCATAAAAACAACAGCTTCCATTACTTAACTTTATAGAAGGTTATATTTTGCATGCGCAGGAGCAAAACACAAACAGAAATACACGTACGTAACCAGAAGTAAACTATTGTGAGTTTTCTCGATAAATTCCATAGCATTTCTAATTTAAGTAGTGCTCCAATAAACTTCTAGCCTAACGTTTTCGCCCGACGGTTTATTGATAAGTTGATAACGATAATTTTTCGCGACGCTTTTGTGGCAAATTCTGGTTTTTAGAATTTTGTGTAGGATTGTTTATTGAATATGTCCTGCAAAATTTGGCTATGTCTATGAATATGGAAAGCCATATTATTGAGACTTTACAAACAGGAGAGAAGAGAAAGAATGTTTCTGATAAAAGTAATAAAAGCAAATTTAAGTTTCAAAAGTTGACAAGTTAATTTTTTGTGGTTCCTAAATCTACGGATATACAGAAGCAAAGCTGAAGTTAAAAAAAAAGTTTTACAAAATTTCTCTTTTCTAAACCTTTGTTGTTTTTATGCTGTAAACGACCGTAGAATGTTGAAATTTGCTAAACCTCAAGGCCACATTTTTTGTTTTGCCATTTTACCTGTTTTGCCTACCAAGTGAAAATTCTTTAAAAAAAGCACTGGCGTTTTCGCTGGATACGTGTGGACGATAAGCGTAACCGCAACAAAATATTTGCGGATACGAACGAATCCGGATACGTGTGGACGGGGCCTAAGATGCCTTGTTTTCATTTAAGTGATTGTCAGATAGTAATGATTGTTTCAGTGTAAGACAAGTAATTAAAATTCAAAAATGAAAAGATTAATATCCTTATGCAGTAGTTTTAACGTGGTTTATTTTAATCTGTGCACTTAAAGACATGACTGAATTTAGTGAGTTGGATTTGTTAGAATGCCAGATTGCAAATGCACTTCAACCACCTTCTGCAGTCGACGTTTCAAGTCCAAAGAAAGCGAAGGTAGACGAGGAGAAACAAAAATGTGGCTGCACCACACATACACAAGAGACAAAGACTTTTTTGGTTTTTGAACATGGGAAACAGGTTTGTTGTTTCCATTTAAGTGATAGAGTACATGTGTTCGTTATTAATTTTGAGTGCAATAATAAATTTTTCTGATTTGTTTGTAAGATTTATTTTCTTTTTAAATTTGTGTACAATATGAATCTGTTTACTTCACAATAATGTGTTATAAACGCCTTAGATTTTATCTGTTTGTTAGATATTCGGATATGCACTGTAAGGTTACTACAGTCATTATTATTTTCTATTTAGAGAATACGAATAAGGAAATGATGTGCAGGCTGTAAATGTTTCATTTAGATAGGACATTGATCATTTGAGGGGTGGGGTTGACTTGGAGGGTGGGGGTCTTTGCCCCTTAATCCGTTTGTTAATATAGGTACTGTGATTGACCAAACGATATTTGATAAGTTCCCGGCGCTTATTGCTTTGAGATATAGTCTACAGGGTGAATAAAAAAAACTAAAAAGTTTGGAAAACGTCTCCAAAGTCATCAGCGTACAAGATATGCATAAACCTTGGGTGCAAATATTTAGTTGAGCTTCCAATGGTTTATCTGATAGAAAAATTTTGGCAAGTAATAACCATTTTTATTCAAAGTGCAAATTATGTTCACGCAAATAAGGTTAAAATATGACTCATGTTCAAGGTAAGAACTAAGGACGTCTTTGGAAATTTGGCTTGTGCCAGGTCATATAAGTAACGAACATTTTCAAATCTTGAGCAAGTTTGACGTAAATAATATTAAATATATAAATGTATTTTAACTATGTTGATTAAATCTACTTCATTCAGTAGCCTTACACTTGCATGGTACCAATATGTACGCATAGCATACCTATTTTGTTAAATTGCAGTGTTTTGGGAGATGAACCCAAATGCCAAGAAATGAAAAAGAAACGTGAATATTCATGATAACTACGATAAATAATGTTATGAAAAATGGCTTCGCTTGGCCCAAAATGTGGACACTGTTTTTTTTTAAAACAAAACGAAATGGGAGGGAAAACCTATAGATCTGGTAAAAAAAACTACAATAAAAGAAACGATCGAAAATTTAGAAAAATTTCCTCAATTTTTTGTAGTTTTCAGATATTTCATATTTTTGTTGTTTTCAATGATCCCGATGATCTACTTTAACATGCAGCGTAGTCGGAACGTACGTCGTTCATATAAAAAATTCAAATTTACAGAGCGACCAAAAAGTGGGCTGACTACCCTATTAAACACAGTGAATATTTTGTGTTGGAACAAAAGATACGCAAACCTTGGTAGAGAACAAACAATGAAAGAGCGCGGAGTGCTAACAGAAATTTTAATAAATAGATGAAAAATGAAAACAAACAGCAGCCCATATATAAATCATGTGAAAATTTTATTCAGTCTGCACTACCTGACCATTCACCTGCCAATAACAATGAAAAATGAAATGACCAAAGTGACGTCATGTGTTGCATAAAATTTTTTTGATGTCTACTAGATTTCATTAGATTTAAAATTTCTGTATTGCTTCATTAAAGACCTTCATTAATAGCTGGCTTTCACTCGTGTGTTTTGTCAGAATATTTAACAATTGTGAAAAGTTAATTTTACGGAAATTTTAAAAGGTTGAATTTGAAAATGTGGTATATTGGTGAAAACATGCATAAAAAAAGTCGCAAGTGCGAATCTTTCAATAAGGACGCTTGCTTCAGAGTGCTTCTGTCCGACTTGCTCGGTTCATTCATTGTCCAGTTAGTAGGTGTAGAAACATAGCGCTACTCTATAAAAAACACGTTATAAATGTCAGCATTATGAGTGATCAAAAACAAAACTTAAATACATCGAAAAGAACAAAACTTAAATACCTGATTTCCAAACGTTTTCGTGGTCAGTCTGATTCAGGTGAATTTGTAGGTCTCCTTTTTTTTTCACCGCGCAGTTTTTACGTGTATATCATAGAAATTTGTTGTAACATTTTTATTTTAGAATTTAATGAATTTTCTTTATAAACGTTTGATGTAATTAGAAAAAGTAGCAAGTGAAAGCCAGCTTTTTTCTCAAAGCAAGTGACATCTTTATTGACATTTTTTCCTAGTTTGAGTGTTTTTCACAATTAAGGTTCAAATTATAAAAATAGACCATCAGGATCCTTTTTTAACTTACTCGTGCAGTTACTCATACAGCACTTATCTACTAAACGTACAAACCACAACACATGGATCGTGTTTTTCCATTCGCTTGTTTTCCATCTTTGTAGAATAGTCCAATCACTTCAATGTTAATGTTCATACGTACATATGCCGCTATGCGATGTCCATTCAATATGTTTATACCATTTCATACACGAAGTAATCATCATTATTAATCAATAAAGTAGCTCGTATATTATGAACCGCCATTTCGATCGAATATAATTTACAATGCACTCTTATGGTAAATTCGAGCGAAGGAAAACGGGCCACTTGAATACTCCAGTTATATCATCACTCAAAGAATGCTTAGGGCAGAGTTGATCTTCTGTGAGTATCAGTTGACCACCTTTAAGTGGGTTCATATAACAATGGGGCCCATCATCATTATATGAACAAACAATTGACATCAACAAAGAATCCAAACTACAGATAAACATTCTTGGCCATGCATCACCATGACACATAAGTATTGACAAACTAGTAAGAGTAATAGAAGTGAATGACACAGGTGGTAAAGGGACTCTCACAACTCCATCCATGTGGGATCTACAATATAAGAAAATACGAAACACATGTATGAGAATTCATGATGAATAACTCTGCATACAACGATAGTTTGCGTTTTTAAATTCTTAATCAGATATATTGAGAATGAGCAAATTGTAATATATTTTCTGCTGGAGTATCCAAATGGTAGAACATTCACCTACATTGCACGAATAGCTTTAGTCAGTTGAGTTTGAACGATGCAACAAGAAATTTCAAACGATCAAAGGGATAACATCGTGATCAAAGCATTTTACTGTGAAAGCTTTCATATTTGAAATTCGAGAAGAACACTAAGACTAATTGATTATTCCAAGTAACTAATACTTACTTACTCAGTAAAAAAACAGAATTTACCTTTCTTTCTATAAAGTTAAAGTGACTAAAGTACCGTTGAAGTTGAAGTTAAAACACACGAATTTAAATATGTTAACATTTCTTCAATTGACGTCATGACTAAAATTTTTTATTTTGACTGGCCCTTTAGGAGCTTGTCACCTTTCATAAAGACAAAAACTAATCCTTCAATGCGTTTAAATAAAAAACTTCATAAGAATTTTCAGATATTTTGCGTTTTAATGTCGTTAGGCAAAATAACGAAACATGATGTGGTAGGGTAAGATTAATGACACGATAATGAATTTAGGAAGTAGACTTTAATTTTGTCCAAGTATTCATTGAATCTTGGAGTCCTCTACTTTAGGAGAAGTATTCGGGACATTCTCTTTGGTATGAGGTTTCTCAACTGCTAAAAATATCGAAGGGAGTCGTACAATTTTGAGCAAAAGACAATTACGGCTCCCGTTCATTGCAAGTCTACACCAAAATCTGTGAAAACTGTACCTCTGTGCACTCAACCACATGGGGTGTTTGAGACAGATGGCGAATTTAGTGTATTTGTATTCATTGCATAGTAAGGACCAATGTCAAATTGAAAAATCAAACCAAAAATCAGTACCATCAATAAAAACCATTGAGATTTTTACGAGAAGAATAGAGATAAATCGAAAAGCAAATAATCATTTATAAACTGACTAAATACAGCGAGCATCTTATAGGTGCATGTATGTAAAAACCATTGGTAACTGCTCGAAATATTGTCTGATAAACAGCCATCCACATAAATTTGCTGTTTCGACAATACCAACGTTGACAGTTTAGAATGATCGGTAATATTGCTTTTGCTTTCGTTAGACATATTTCTCAAATGGGTAAGTTCTATATTTAGATGATTTGTCAGTTTGTTCGATAGCATTATGAAACTTACAGAAAAGTTATTGACAAATTCTAATGCATCTTGGAAGAAGTTCATAACTTTTTTAGCTATTTTGTGACTTAAATCTTACTTATGTACCCATTACAGTGGTGTTATTTTGGCTGCCAAATTTATTAGATTTCAGAGCAACTAAATAATGTAACATTTAGGTAAACGTTCATTCATTATTTCTTTTTGAAAACATGAGTTAATATTCAATATCATGACAGTAAGAACAAACGATTCAATGGAAAATTGTTTAAACAACAAATAACCAACATAATCACAGTTGCAATGCGCAGCCAGAACGATATTTGGCGGGAGGAAATATTCATGAATGCATTATGCATATGATAATTCGCTAAAAACAATAAATTTCAAAGCAACTTTATACAGCACATCCAATATATATGAATATTCTCCTTCCCCTCAAATATCGTTCAGGCTACACCACAGCAAAGTTTGATATCTTTATAGCATATTTTGAATAGACAAATTGTATATCTTAACAGGAAAAATACATAGTTTTTGGACTTAAAACTTCTTGTAAGTTGTTAAACTAGTTTAAGTCAAACATGTAACACACATCAGTATTAAAACAAAGTGCAATTCAAATAAGTTCACTGAAGAAAGTCTTTTTTCGCTTTGCATGCACAGATATGAAAGACAAGTGTTTGGTATCTTAAGCCTTACACAAAGTTGCCATAGCAATAATTACCATAGCAATAATTACCATAGCAATAGTTAAAATACCATAGCAATAATTCTGTTGGTTAAAGTTTCTAAAGAATATTTTGACGATAATTTTTTAACCAATCGAGTTGTTTATAAAGCATTTTGGTAGTTTATAAATTAAAATTCAATTGAAATTAAAATTCAATTTTAAAATAAATTTGTTTAATCAGGCATAAATGTGATTTAACTACTTTAACATACAAACACGTCATCGTAAACATACCTGGCTTCAAATGACAGTGATTTTTAGTAAGCACTTCTTGTTGTTTGAATTTGTAACTTTGTTTGATTGATCTACAACTACAGCATTACAAGTTGCTAAGGGTTATCTATAATATAAAATTTATGGTATTAGGAAAGGGATGCTTGAACCTTGAGAGGGGGGATTTGGAGAAGGTGAAGTTATTATTTTGTAGGTTTTTTAAAACATTACAGTGGAACATATATTATTGAAGACTTAGCCTTTGCACTTCATACGTTGCTTCGTTGTAGGGTAAGACTAAATTTATAAAAAGTGTATAAATGACTTAACACTTGGTGAACAATTTACATTTTAAAGTCACATTTATACATTGCTTAAACACGCATGATAATTCTTTGTTTTATGTCTTACAAACCTTCAACTGGTCGACGGTTGAAACTTTCAGGTTTTGATATTTAACGTTCTGGAAGTTGTATGAATAGATTGTTATGAAAAACAATGTTATGTCGTGACAATGTACAAAGATTGGCAAAACTATTTTGCTGCATTGAAAATTAGGAACTTAAATTTAATAAGCGATGCTGTATATTTTAATGCAAAGATACACCGATTTCATCATTAAAATATTTGTATTTCTGCTTCTAAAACGACCTAAATATTTAACTATTCAATGATTACATGATTACAATTGCAATTTCAAGTAAATTTGCTTCGTCAAGCATTTATATAATAACACATATTTTACAAATATAACGACTGAACCGAACGACAAATAACTGCTATAATAAGCAATTTAACTTCCTTATATACAGACATATCAACACATACATACCTTGTTGTAGATGGCAGTTATTTGTTTTTTGATCAGCTGATTGTTGTTGGAAATGTTGTTCGGATAAATTTTTAGGTTTTCTTCGTTACGTTCTGGAAAGCTTAGACTTCAGAAATATCATATGAACTTTTGAGTGGTGAAAGGTGAGAGTTTCAACAGTCGATACATGGCCAATATCCTATCCACTCTTGCGTTTCCCAAACACATGTACGGTGGCCGAGGAGTGCCAATACAAATTAATTAATGTATTTATTGTAGAAACTAAAGAGCAATGAACAAGAATTGTATGTGTTTGTCAGTTCTTTAAAAGTTTCACAAATAATTAACTGCGCATCGCTTTTGAGTTATGTAATAGTACATACATCTATCACGTGATTCTAGAAAAAGCTCATAATTAAAGGTAAAACTGGTAACAGTGACTGTGTTAAAGTGGAACCCATTTGAGCTCAATCAATTAAATCAATCAAATAAAAAGAATTTTCAAATCAATCATTAATAAATGTTACCTTAAAAACAACAAATAATTGTTTTGCACTTGTTATTTTACAAGATTATGTTAGATTATGACTACAGCTGTCATAATCTGTGTCATAATGTTGCTATTATGTAAATAGTTCATCACAATGTGAGAGATGTGAAATGAACAACTTTTAAAGATAATGATTTTGTCGTTAGTTTGTCTACAGGCTATTACTGCCCCTTAATTTACAGTCTATGCTTTAAAAAGGTACTTGCAAAAAGTTGGTTCAACCCTTACAAAAATAAACAATAGTTTTTCAAGTCAAAAACTATAGTTTTGAAAACTGTAGTATTTTGGAACAAAAACTGTAGTTCCGCAAAATATAGTTGTATGAATAAACTATAGTTTTCAGAACTATAGTTTTGGTGATACTATAGTTATAGAAACTAAAGTTTTGGGAAAACTAAAGTTTTACAATTTATAGTTTTGTTCCCAAAGGCTACAGTTTTCAAAACTATATTTTTCCGTGAACTACAGTTTTCTAATGAATCTATGTTATAATGTAGTTCATTAACTAAGGGTTTCATAAAAACAATTTAGCAAATTCCCTGTACAGGTTCTAGTAGTACACATTATTTTATACAGAATTAAATAAAACCATAAATCCACGATATTTTAATTATACATTGTATTTTAACCAGACAAATACATTCAACAATTTTCTTCCTTTATAGAAAAATATCATTAAGTTGCATGGATAGAATTAATAGAAAAATATAGTATAGACAGCTAATGTTACTCTTTACAGGATTCGTGTTGTTTTTTCCATGCTTGTTCCTCGTTATTAACTTTGAACTTTATAGTTTTTACAACATCTTCTTCTATAACCTGGCGTGACATATTTGAATACTTCACACTCGTTGCATGCTCTAGAAAAAAGGTAGAGGAATAATGTCCATCTCAACTCTAAAGGATATTTTCTGATGGATCATAAGGTGGGAAGTCAGCAAAGACAAAAGCTAATAAACTTGACTAGGTCTTCAATACAAACACAAAGTATCAAAACAACATAGTAGTTCACAACAGTAAGTTCAAAATATTAAAAGATACATTAAATTGTTGAGTCATGCTCATAAACCACAGAAACATGTTAAGGAAATAGTTTGTGCGTAGTTTGGTTTACCAATGTATCTGTTCCCACACGGCTAACAGCCAAGGAACAGTTATTGACATTAGTTAAATTTCCTTACGTACCATATATAGCTAAAATAGAGGAACTATACCGACCAATAATAATATTTGTTATTTGTAATAAAGACTATAAATACTGCTTTGTAAGATAATAAAAATCAGTTCGATCATTAAGTTCACTCATGCTTGTTACTGAAGGTATAGAGTATATTACGAAAAGAGATATGGCGAGTAACTCAAACTCAACATAAATTTTCATTATTACCATTTATTGTCCCATACAAGACATGGAACAGAGCATGTTTGAACAATATACTATGTCTGCATAGCTGAACATGTAAAAAATAGACGTTTACGGCAGGTCAAACGTGCTTGAAAATGTAGAGTCTAAATATTTATACTGAAAAAGTCCTTGAAATGTTTAAAGTTTTATTTCAACGGTACTCAGACTCAAATAACCATATATCTACTTACGAAATAAAGAAGTAGGGTATGTGGGATCAAGCCTAGGCTAGACCTGACCATTTTTTCCCTTTTTGGCCCTTGTAGCTGTGGGAAGCCATGTGTTCATGGGATAAGGTTGTATTCGTTATGTTAGCAACATATGATCCAACTTTCTTTGCAACAATTCTTTTAAAGACATGCTTTTTGACAATAAATTTCGTCCCAAAGTGACCTGAAATAAATTGAAGAATAACAGCATGCGAAAGTTATATTACTGGAGTTGCAAATGTTCCATCTCCAATTAAATGGAGCTATTTTATTTACTCAAAGTGTTCATGAAAAAGCAACCCTCAGTTACGATTCTAAAAACAAACGTAAATAATTTTAAAAAGGATTGCTGCACATTAAAACTTGAATTATGTGCATTTGATGAGTCAGTGTTACATAGATCTGTTTTAACTGCATGTTAGTTTATCAACCAAATCTAATGCTTAGTACCATTTAAAGCTAGGTACAGACAAAACGCATCATTTCGGGGAGAGAAGTATCTTCAGTTGTTGCATTTAAGCAATCCAGAGGGCTTTCTTCCAAAGTTTAGTTGGTTTCATTTGATAGTCCATTGATAGAGCTCTCAAACACAGCTGTTGGTATGGGGGAAGGGTTTTCTTCTAGAAGATTTGAAAGGTTTGAGTAAGAGCTACTTCTCCCAGATAAAACTAGGGTGAATCTATTCTTCATCACAGGCAAACCTTCAAAGGGTGACAAACATGTGGTGGATGGAGTGGACGGAGATTTACTGAGGGAAGTTCTCGTCAGAAATGATCTTTGTGGAAGTGACCTGGCAGAATCTTCCAAGGTACACACATTTCTCCTTAACTTTTTTAATAAAGTTCTTAAATCTATAAATTTAAAACGATATATCATAAGCTTCTAAAGGTTGATGACACTACGTAATATTGAGTTGTTGTCTTTCACCCAAATACTAAATTTCAAATCCAAAATATACTTAATAGAACAAGCAATTTACAAAATTCTCCATTTTGGAAGACAAAAGTAAAAAGCAGAGAAAGCATTGATTTGAAAATACAAATGAAGTAAATTTGCCTCAAGCTCACCATTGCCATTGTCAATTTTCTCATTAAGTCTTTTGATCTGATTTTCCAGCATTTTTACCCTCTCTTTGAGTTCCGAGGCTTCTTTTTTATACTTGCATTTATCATTGCAAAGTGCACTACCTTCATCTGACTGACTCTCCTAAATCATCAACAAGAACTTAGGCAATAATTAAAAATATTTTATTTTAAGTACTAACTACTATGTGTACTTTACTAACAAGTACAATATTTTATAATGATAAATCTCAATTTTTTAATTTCACAAGCCACACTGATTGAAAATTATTTTGTATGATTGCCCTATACAAGCCTTATACTGTACAATGTTTGCATTTTAAAAGATTTTTCACTTAGAAACATGAAATTAATTTCAAATCAACAGCATTTTATGATTAACGGGAACATATCATAAAGTATTAACTTTTTTAGCATTTAACCAAACAACATCCAAATCTTATTCTGAAAAATGACCTTAATTCCCTAGCATTCCTCATTAAAAATAGAATTGCATAATTTAGAGATAAGAATAATTAGTGTTATCATTGTGTATAGTACATACATTGGTTAATCACTCTTTTATAAGTGAAGGCAGACTGGCTAAGCGGCAAGCCTCTGTTTTCTTTGCCCTGGATGCCTTTAGCTTTTTAGGAATACTGTGCTCCTGCTGGTAACAAGAAGAACAATACAAAATTTTATACATGTTGTTTGAAAAGTTTGTTATTAGCTACTACTTCTCATTTAAATTCTTAGGCTCATTGCCTTGTTCAGCAATGTAGACCTTTGAACATAGAATTAGTAGCTAATAACATTTGAATCATGAATACCTTATGGAGTAGTTAAAGGGGAACTCCACCCTCACATAAGTTGGTCTTAAAACTTTGCCAGTCCCGTGAAAATAAATATGCGGCAATTTTTTTGTTTGTTTGATGCAATATTTTCACAAAAAATGAGTTGAAATGCTGCAGCTAGGGCATCCGGTGCGTGGGAGCACAAACATGTCAGCGGCTTGTATTTGACGTCATATCGTCAATTTCTGCTCAAAGGTCTATGTAAAGTCATTGCACAGCCATAACAAATTTGCGTCAAATTGCTTCTCCTAATCACAAAATGTTTCTTTTCGAAACTTCAGAATTTTTTATTCATAGGTATATACACAAGCAACTTTTATAGCTTACATACAAGTATTGAGCTGGTTATTTGTATTCTGTTTTAATAGAACGGTTTCACATCCATAAAGGCCATTGTCGCACAGTTTCCGCACTACATATAGAATTTAAATATCGATTAATATTATTTTTTAAAAAATACGAAGGTTGATTTGTGTGGAAACTGTGCTGTAATGCCATTTGCTTCGTTTGCTTGTCCTCCGAATTCAATCTTAACAACAGTTTCTACTGATGTGAAACCAGTCTATTGCCATGAATAACATTAATAATAATAAAACATGGTTGTGTAATTTAGATTCAATATAGTTAGAAAATAATCCTACATAAAACCATTGTAAAATTAGCCTTTCGTGTATAGAATTTAGGTGTAGTTTCCTTGACGTAATGTATGAACTTATAGTTTCCTAATTATTTGTACATAATTTCCCTTTTTTAAGTCACATTTGAGACAAAAATTGCCAGTGCTATGAAAAACAAACACCCTCATATTGATCACCAATATGATGTGTGGCATTTGTCTAAATCTGTCACAAAAAAATAACAAAGGCTAACATTAAGGGAAATGATGACTTGACCCATTGGATTAAGTCCATTTCTAATCATCTTTGGTGGTGCTCTGCAAGTTGTAACAAGAATGCAGAAGAATTGATGGAAAATGGAAGTCTATCCTTAACCAACAACAAGCATTTCTGGAGAGGAAACACATATTTTCATCAATGTTGCTACCAACAATTAACAGAAAGACAAACAAGCAGAAGAAGTGGCTATCTCCTACTTCACAAGCTTATATTGCTGCAGAGAAGGTGATTTGTGACACGAGGGTTCTAAAAGACCTGTGGAAGCTATCTGAATATTGTCACACAGGAGAGTTGGAGGTTTACCATTCCCTTTTACTGAAATACTGCCCAAAGCGAGAGCATTTTTCATTTCCTGGAATGGTAGCCCGCACTCAGTTAGCAGCATTTGATCACAACAACAATATTAACCGTGATAAAGCAGTCATCAAGTCAGGGACAAACAAAGGGCAAGACCGTTACAAAATGATTTTTGCTAAAACAAAGAAGCAATGGGTTGTAAAAGCAATGAAAGAAAAGAAAGAATACCAGTACGTTGATATACTACTTGCCGAGGTTGTGAATGCATGCAAAACTGAGAAGATTGAACTTGTACATCATGGCGAGAATCTTCCAAAGAACATTTCTAAATCATGTCCACCCAGGAAAGAAGTACTTGTAAAGGAACATCAGTCAGTGGTGAAGTTAGCTATGGCAATAGGTTTTGCCATGCCCATATAATATAATGTTGAATCACTGAAGACAACTTTTGTACATTCATTCTTAAATATTAACAAAGCAAAACCAGCATAGTGGAAGCTTTCAAATTGAAATTCCTCTGCAGGACCACGTGGAGGAAATGTTTCTCTAATGCAAGTAACATGATCGCAAGACGACTCTTACTTCTCTACCCAAGACACCCCAGCACCATCTTGTAAACTGTCTATATGCAATATGGTGGTACAGTTTGTCTTCGGACCCATCATATGCTACCTCATATTGCTGCTTGTACTGGTACTAAGCTGTTTGTAAAACCCACCTGTTAAGACAAACAGGCTCAAAACCAGGATGTTGTGTAATGCACAAAGGGCCTTCGGTGGTCTCATTCGTTTCTACTGCCTCTACATTTTTGTCACAAATTTTGGAGATCTCTTTGCAGCATAAACATTCCTCATTATTGTCCATTATTTGGCAGTTACCACATTGACACCTGAATATGTTAAAAGAAAGGATCTTGAAAAGTAAATGTCAAAATTTCAACAAAGATTGTATCTTACAATAAAAATTTTAAACTCTGAAGTATTATGTGTGTATGGACGTGGTCAACTTCAAAAACGGCAAACGTTCTTTCGAGATCGAAACAATGGTCTAGAATAATATAACATTTTATTACTCACCATTCAAGATTGTCGCGCCGAGATTAACCCTCAATATACACAAATTCCTGATCTTCGTTGTCCTCAAACTCGTGAGCTTCTTCGTGTTAATCAGCAGGCCATTCGGGCTCAAACTGATATGGCCGAATATAGTTTGCTGGATTGTCTTCCATTTTACTATCGATTGGTGAATTAGGCCGAGGTTCTTCCAAAAAAGCCATTATAAGCGATTGTTTTATTTTTTGTGCTAGGTTGTGCGTTATTATTTTACTTTGTTGTAAACACAACTCCAAATCGGTCTGATAATATGACGTCATAATAATTTCCGCTGACGCTTTCTGTGCCTACGCTGCTAAGCCTCAAAACAGCTCAAATAGCGCACTTGAAGACGCGATTTTGTCAAAAATGAAATGGCTGATGTAAAAATTTCAAAATATAGTAACCTTTGCATAAAACTGGAACTTTTAAGACCAACATTATGTGAGGGTGGAGTTCCCCTTTAACATATTTCCACGAATGCATCATCACATTAGTGACATGAGTGCTAACTATAGATGACGGCAGCAATAATTGAGAAACATGCAGTAAACACCATATAAACAAAATGTGGTTAATGTAATATTTCGGGCAACTCACCACATCATCTGATTCACTATCACTTTCAATTGTAAACTTTCCTTTGTGAATTCTTTTGCAACACCCTTTGCCAGTATTTATAGAGAAAGTTTCTTCTTTCCTCATTGTCTTGAGCAAATAATCTTTACTATCTGTTTGTACAAAATAATGGATGACTATTTAACAACTGTTAAAAAATAATAATTTTCAATTAGAAGCAGTAGCATGCCTGAAATTATAAGGAAACAACCTTATGCTAAGTTTGGCCTAATTTATTACTACATGTATTTAAGTGCAAACAAGTTAAAATCTGGGAAATAGACACATCCTTATTGTCAGAATTGTAACTGAACTATTGCTATGTAGAAAAAAGAACAACATTCGAGTAAAGGCTTTTTATCAGAAAGTGTTTCCCTCCTAAAAAAAAAGTAAGTTGAATTGATAACAGCAACCTTCATATCAACTATGACTATTTCTACAAACAAGACAGAGAAATAAACAAATAGATTTTCACACAGAAATTTACAGATATATAGCAGAGCTAAGATGCTTCATGAAAGAAATGATAACAAAGAGAAAGAGCTCGATGCACTAGCAATTAGCTTTTTGGCTGAATTATACAAGCTTTTAGAAATTTTACAAAAAATTATACAACAGACTAAAAATACTAACCTGAAACCTCTATTATCTCTGCAGAAAATTCCCTCGACTTGCCTTTTTTCTTTGTTTTTCCATCGCTCCACATGACTAATGTTTTGAATCCTTTAAGTTCATCTTTGTCTTTCGACATATTTTCATCCTCAAAAATGATGTTAGAATATGGAATGATATCCCATGTATTTTCGTTGTAAAAATTCACCAATGCAAACGCCATATTTTCCAATATTATCGCTGAAAACGTTTTATCAACTCTTAACGCAGGGGTCTCCAAACTTTAAAGCCAGAGGGCCACATGAACTTTCATCCAGCATATTGAGGGCCGACTAACCGTATACCGCTGGTCAAAGAGCAATGAAGAAGTATTTTACACTTCACTCTTCTTGTCTACTATCATCCACTTTTCTTTTTCTTTTATGCACAAAGTTTATTTTGTTTAATGATATTATTATTTTTTTCTCAAGTGTCTCTGCGGGCCAGATCGAGAGGCCTAACGGGCCACATCTGGCCAGCGGGCCGGAGTTTGGAGACCCCTGTCTTAACGTATCTTTGCAACAAGCAACATGTTAATCAGATTGAAGATCATAGAATCGTGTAAAGATTAAGGATTACAAAATAACAGTCCCAGTCTCCCAACGCTCTCGTCTAAATCTAAACAGAATAGTTTGAAACAATATTGAAACAAAGCAAAGAAAAAATTTTTGTTTTTATAAGTTGAGGTAAGCCTGGTGTTTTCCGGGTTTCAAAAATCCATGTTAAGCGTTCATGAAAATACCCTGATGTAAACATTAAAAATGGCTTATAAAAATACGGTCGAATTATCCCAGAAATACGAAGCAGTTATGGTTCTCAGTGGAAAGGGGGGGGTGCTCTGAGTTGTAAGAATGGTTTGTGGGAATTCTGTTACAGTGGTACTCAAATTCATGAAGAACTAGAAAAACTCGGAGGACTTGATAAAATTGACATTAAAGGATGGAGGGTTAGTGACGACACTGTACTACACATTGCTACAGCAGAAGCGTTGGTTTCTGAATGGGCAACAACGGAAGAGTTATTGAGCATTATGGCTACAAAGTAGAAGAAGACATGTGCTGAGGATATGTGGGAAAGAGCTCCTGGGCAGACCACAACAAAGGCATGTTTCATGTTACAACCTCTTGAGGAAAAAGGTTACATTATAACATTTAATGAACGAGGTGGAGGATGTGGTGCAGCTA